GTGATCCACCCGCCTCGGCCTCCCAAAGTGCTGGGATTACAGGCTTGAGCCACCGCGCCCGGCCTGTCTTTAATTTTTTAATTAATTTTTTTTTAAAGCCTAAGAGGACAGGGTTTAGGGAGCTACATGCGGAAACTGACAGAAAGGTGAACAAGAGCTCATCCACGGCCAGGTGCGGTGGCTCACACCTGTAATCCCAGCACTTTGGGAGGCCAAGGCGGGCTGACCACCTGATGTCGGGAGTTTGAGACCAGCCTGACCAACATGGAGAAACCCTGTCTCTACTAAAAATACAAAATTAGCCAGGCACAGTGGCACATGCCTGTAATCCCAGCAACTCAGGAGGCTGAGGCAGGAGAATGGCTTGAACCCGAGATGGAGGTTGCAGTGAGCTGAGATTGAGCCATTACACTCCAGCCTGGGCAACAAGAGCAAAACTCCACCTCAAAACAAACAAACAACAACAGCTCATCCACGGCCAGCAGTGGCTCCATCTATAATCCCAGCACTTCGGGAGGGCAAGGTTGATGGATGGCTTGAGCCCAGGAGTTGACAACCAGCCTGGGCAACAGAGAGAGACCCCATCTCTACAGAAATAAAAAAAAAAATTATCTGGGCGTGGTGGCACATGCCTGAAGTCCCAACTACATGGGAGGCTGAGGTGGGAGGATCACGTGAGCACGGGAGGCAGAGGCTGCAGTGAGCTGAGACAGTGCCACTGTATTCCAGCCGGAGCAAAAAAAAACAACTCATACGTGTCTAACTCCACCAGGACAGAAGCTCCTGTACTCGGGAGTCTTCCAGTCCTCACCCTATGTATCTCTTCATCTGACTGGTTTATCTGTAGCCTTTATTTTACTTATTTATTTTTAAGACAAAGTCTCACTCTGCCACCCAGGCTGCAGTGCAGAGGCTCCCTCTTGGCTCACTGCAACTTCCGCCTTCCTGGTTCAAGCGATTCTCCTGCCTCAGCCTCCTGAGTAGCTAGGATTACAGGCTCCTGCCACAACACCTGGCTAACTTATAGAGACAGAGTTTCCCCATGTTGGTCAGGCTGGTCTGCAACTCCTGACCTCAAGTGATCTACCACCGCAGCCTCCCAAAGTGCCAGGATTACAGGTGTGAGCCACCGCACCCGGCCTGTCTGTAGCCTTTAAAGTTTCCTTTGGGTTACTGACTTTAATTGATGATAAAGTGTGTCTGAGGAAAAAATGAAATAAAACATCCTTTGAAATAAACCGATAAACAGGTCTCCCTGATTTGTGTGAGTTGCTCCAGCAAATTAATTGAACCCAAAGAGAAGGCCGTAGGAACCCCAACTAGAAGCCAGTTAGTCAGACGTTCCCAAGGCCCAGACTTGTGACTGGTGGGATTGGGGGTGGTCTTGTGGGACCACGCCCTCAACCTGTGGTTTCTGAGGCCATCTCCAGGTAGACAGCGTCAGAATTGAGTTGAATTGGAGACACGAGCTGGCATCTGCCACGGAATTGATTCTTGCCGGGGTGTGGGGAGAACCCACACATTTGATCACAGATGTCTGTGCTGATTGTTGTCTTGTGAGAATGCAGGGAAAACACAGTTGGTTTTTGTTTTTTGGTTTTTTTGAGATGGAATCTCGATCTGTTGCCCAGGCTGGAGTGTGGTGGTGCAATCTCGCCTCACTGAAACCTCCGCCTCCTGGGTTCCAATGATTCTCCTGCCTCTCAGCCTCCTGAGTAGCTGGGACTACAGGCGCATGCCACCATACCTGGCTAATTTTTGTATTTTTTAGTAGAGACAGGGTTTTGCCATGTTGGCCAGGTTGGTCTCAAACTCCTGGCCTCAAGTGATCTGCCCACCTTGGCCTCCCAAAGTGCTGGGATTACAGGCATGAACCACCGCACCTGGCCAAAAAACATAGTTTGAGTTGGTTTTTCCTCACTGATCTTATTTGGAAATAGTCTCTACAGAAGTAATTAGTTAAGATGAGATTATACAGGATTAGAATGAGCCCTAAATCCAGTAGCTAGAGTTCTTATAAAGAGGCCACATGAGCTGGGCAAGGTGGCACTCACCTGAAATCCCAGTTACTTGGGAGGCTGAGGCAGGATAACTGCTTGGGCCTAGGAATTCAAGACCAGCCTGGGCAACATAGTGAGACTGAATTGCAAAAATCAGGAAGACCATGTGAAGGCCACACAGACACACAGGGAAGACATCCTATCTCTATAGAGTATCACCTGATTCCTTGATCCTAGTGAATGTCCCCAAACCATTCTGTATCCTTCTTTGCAGTGGCTACCAGGAGGCTCAGTGCTACCCAGCTACTTGCTGAGATCACATTAACGCTTAGCTGGCCTTTTTCCCTCCTGGGCTTAAATAATACCACTGGGTGGGTAGAGAAGGACCCAGAGGCAGTGCAAGTCCAGTTCCAGCCCTACTTGCCCACTGGGCCAGCTGGGCCTTGTGTTCCTTTGAACTGGGCTACCACATGTGGGGCAGAGGGCTTGAGGCTCCAAAGGTGTGGCTATCATCAATTCATGTCTCCTGGCAGGTCCCACTTGGGGCCAAGTATGCTCCCATCAGAGCCTCCTCCCTGCTGGGCTCTCCGGCCCCCAGCCTCCCACCTCAGTGACTCCCTAGGGATGATATGGCTACCCTACAGGATCCAGGACGAGCCTTTGCACTCCCACATCAGCCCTGGGAGCCGAGAGGACAACACTGCAATCCCTCCACCCCATGGGGTCTCAACACAGCTCTGCTGCTCAGGGTAACCCAGGGAGACATCATTCCCGGTGAGGTGGAACAATGTCCCCACGCTGGAGGGGATAGCTCTGCCCCTGGGGGCTCCTGTCCAAGTCAGGTTAGGCCAGAAATTGTCTCCAAGAGCCAACTCACCCTAGGCACCCCGCACAGCAGGCAGGGAAAAGTCCATCCAAGGATCTAGGCCCAGACACCACCCTCCCTCTTTTGCTGGAAAAATGTCCTCCAGGAACCTCTCAGCCAGGGACACAGAGGGTGGGGGATCAGAGGTGGGGGCTGGGGCAGTTCTCTGCCTTCCACAGGACTCTAAGCTCTGGGCATTCCCCCATACCACTGGCTAGGTTGCCCCTTTCATGCTGCCAGGCTCAGCCCTCCATCCCCTCCTTCCTCCCCTCCCCCTGCCCACTCTTCTCACATTTGAGGGGACAGTGCCCAGGCCTGACTCAGCCTCTGGGAGGATATGGTCAGAATCTGGGAGCCCTCCCAGCTCTGGCTCCAGCTTTGAGGCTGCAGGGGAAGGGGAGAGGAGGGCTTACCAGGCTGCCTGCTCTGGGCAGGGGGTCTGAGAGGTCCCTGGGGCACTGGGGCTGCCACTTAAAGATCTGACCCTGTCGCCACTTCAGTTCAGCAACAGTGCCTTGGCCCTGGGGGAGGGCAGGCAAGCTCGTCATGCAGGTTTGCCAGGGAGGAAACCTGTGGTGCCAAGGTGGCCCCAGGACAATACTGGCTGCACTGGAGTGGGAGGAGAGGGTGTTGGGTCCAGCTGGCAGGTGCCAGGGGAGAAGGGGGTGCAGGTACAGGCCCAGCAGAGTTTGGGGTCTGTGGATGGTCAAGGGGCTAAGACATCCTGCTGTCCTCTGCCTTGTCTCGGAGCCTAGCACCCTGCCCTCTCCCCACGGCCATCTCTGGGCAGGCAGTGCTTAACCCAAAGGAAGAAACCTTGAATCTTCATAGGGTAATACACATGCGCACACACACACACACACACGCACGCACGTGCACACACGCACACGTGCACACACACACGCACACACGCACGCACACACGCACGCACACATGGACAGTGCTCATCCCTTCCTGCACAACAGGAACCCGTCCTCCCGTCCTCACAGGCTAGACACATACTCCCTGCCTGGGGAAGTGGGGGCTGCAGTTCAGTGCCTCAAACGTCCCCCACCCAGGAGATGTGAGGGTCCCAGAGCTGGGATTGGGGCTGCAGGGGCCAGCAGGCCTCCAACAGAGACCTAGACCTCTGCTGAGGGAGCCCTAGGAAGTGAGATACTCCTTGAGCCGGGTGGCTCCGTATCTCACCCTGGTCCTCAGAGGAGCCAGGGCCCCCTCCTCACCCTGCCTGCCCCCCCACCCCTTGTCAGTGAGGAAGACTGAAGCCAGTGGCAGATGCAGCTCGCCTGCGGCCAGCCTGCCCAGAGCTGGGCTTAACGGTTAACCTCACTCTTCATCTGGTTTATTTCCCAGGCTAGGGTCAGCGGTGGGGGCCTGCCCCAAACCAAGAAGCAGGTGGCAGTAAATATTTGCCAGTGCAGGAGTGTCCATGCAGCATAAGCAGGCCCTACACCACAAATGCCCACAGCAGGACAGATTTTTTTCTTTCTTTCTTCCTTTTTCTTTTTTTTTTTAAGACGGGGTCTTGCTCTGTCGCCCAGGCTGGACTGCAGTGGTGCAAACTCAACTCATTGCAACCTCCACCTCCCAGGTTCAAACGATTCTCCTGCCTCAGCCTCCCAAGTACCTGGGATTACAGGCACCCGCTAATTTTTGTACTTTTAGTAGAGATGGGGTTTCAACATGCAGGGCAGATTTCTAAAAGCAGGTGGGGACAGTATCTAATGCTGGCACACGCAGTGGAACCCCCACGCCGCCTGGAATGCTCTTTGCACGGTCAAAGTGACTATTCCTATCAGCACTGGGGCCAAAGAGTAGAGAGGTGCCAAAAGCCACCTCGTCCCTCCCGAACTCTGCTCCGAGCCCTCGGGACAGAGCTTTAGTGCCAAGGCTGACGCGGGCAGGGCCTCCTCCAGTGAGACCAGGCCAAGCCTAGGAACCCGCTGGCCTCGCTCCGGCGCGGTCTGGGGCAGGCGCTCAGCCTTCGGACCTGGACAGGGAGGGGCGGGGCCTGGGCGACGAGGGGCGGGGGCCTGGGGAGGGGCGGGGCCTGGGCGACGAGGGGCGGGGGCCTGGGGAGGGGCGGGGCCTGGGCGATGAGGGGCGGGGAGGGGGCGGGGCGAAGACCGGCCGGCCTCCCGTGGGTTCGGCCCCCGCCGCGCGGCTGCCATGGGGGCGCGGCTGGGCCGGCGTGCCCGGCCGGTGGCGGGCTCCCAGGCCGGGGCGGCGGCCAGCTGCGGGCCCGCGCCCTACGAGCGCCGGGTGCGGTGGCTCCGCGAGATCCAGTCCACGCTCCGCGAGCGGCGGCCGGAACGCGCCCGGCAGCTGCTGCGCCTCCTGCGCCAGGCGAGAGAAGGAGCCGGCCGCCCTGGGGCTGGCGGCCGGGCAGGGTCTGGGGGTCTGGGAGGCGCGGGGCTGTGGGTGGTGGGCATGGATCGGCCGGGAGGCGAGGCTGAGCTGATCTCGGACGTGCTCGCGGGCGGGTTCCGAGGGCGCGATGCGCTGCAGCGGGGCTGGGTCTTGCCTGGGCGAGACGGCGGTCGGCTGGAGTGAGGGCTGGGGGAGGCCGGCGGACCGTGAGTGGAGGAGGAGGCCGCTGAGTGTGTTCGGGTTTCGGGTTTGAGAGGAGTTGTGTGTTGAGGGTGGCTCCAGCCTGGAGCTAAAAGCCCAGATTCAGGCCCTGGCAAGATGGGAGGGGCCGGCAGGAGTGGCAAGTGAGGTCGAATCATCTCCTATTGAGAGACAATGGAAGAGGGTAGCTTCCCTCTTTCCAGGATCGGGGAGGCACTGGACCCTGGAGAGAGGACCCAGGGCTGGTCTGCAGGTGCAGACTCACCCCAAGACACCATGGCAGCCCACACAGAGCCACTGCATGCATCACCAGCCCTCCAACAGGCAGTTCCTGCCCGTAGAGTACACACTGCCAACATCTGTGCATCACAACAGGGTCCAGTGGTGACCCTGGTCTACACACACTAGGTACTCTAAACCCAGATCCCAAGTCCTGGGTTGTCCCAGGATGCTGGTCCCCCCATCACCTGGGCAAGCTACTTCCCTCACTACCCTGTCCTCACCCCCTGCAGCAACTGCCACTACCTGCCCCATCCTGTGAGCGGGAAGTCAGCCATGCAGGTGTTTGGCCTGCAGAAGGTAGATAATTAGAAATGGGGAAACTGAGGCATGGAGAGATGTGGTCATCCCAGGGCCCACAGAGAAAATGTGGGGCGAGCCAGGGCCAGAGCACTTCCTTTCTTCCCTTCTCCATCTCCTCCAACTCTGGGTTCAGCAGGCTGGAAAAACGGAGCTGTCCCTTTAAGAGGAGCTGTCTAGACCAGAGGAAGGCAGGCTGGCAGGTTGCGGTCTGGGGCCCTGTCTGGGTCTGCCAGGCTCACCAGCCAGCCTTCCTTCTGGATCCTCCCTAGCTGGCATCTCTGGCAAACAGCAGAAGAGCACTGAATCAGCCAGACACCCAGAGGCACGCATCTCAGTCTGGGATGGTGTAGGAGCCCAAGGAGTCAGTCGGGCATTTTAGCTGGGAAGCTGGACAGAGACCAGATAGGTTACCTCTCTGTGTCTCAGAGCTTAGGATTTGAGGTCCAGTGAGGGGCCTGTCCTGCTCCATAACCTGCAGGGACCCTGCAGCTGTGACCCACGGACTACCCCCCAACCCTGGCCCAACTTCCCGTGCTTGGGACTGATGCACAGAGCATATCACCTTTGGATTGGAGAAGGCCCACATGGGGTCTAGAGGCCCCTCCCGGCTGTGACTGCCCTATCAGCCATCAATGTGTCCTGTAAAGAGACCCTCTGAGCTGGGCGTGGTGGTTTATGCCTGTAATCCCAAAAATTTGGGAGGCTGAGGTGGGCATATCACCTGAGGTCAGGAGTTCACGACCAGCCTGACCAACATAGAGAAACCTCATCTCTACTGAAAATACAAAATTAGCCGGTAGTGGTGGTGCATGCCTGTAATCCCAGCTACTCAGGAGGCTGAGACAGAAGAATTGCTTGAACCTGGGAGGCGGACGTTGCGGTGAGCTGAGATCATGCCATTGCACTCCAGCCTGGGCAACAAGAGCAAAACTCCATCTCAAAAAAAAAAAAAGAGGGAGAGTGAGACCTTCTGAGAGTGTTCAGCCCCACACCAGGCCTGTGGGCATAGATAGGAAGAAAAAGTCGAGGAGTGAGGCAGGAAGGCCGGGGCAGGTCTGCAGGCGGTTGTAGGGTGCGGGATGGGTAGGAAAGGAGGCTGGAGGTCTGAATCTTGGCAGGAGCGGTGGGGAGAGAAAAGGGATGACTAGATGAACTGGGGGAGAGAGGAGGAGGGAAGAGTGCTGGGGGTTCCCGGGCTTCTGGCCTTAGTGCCTACAAAGATCGGCATGGAAGTGCCCTATACTGAGCTGTGGCATGGGTGGTGAGGCCAGCTTCAGAGTAGCATGGCTTTGAGACATCTGAGCAAAGAGAGAGGTCCACCCCTATGGGACTGTCTGCAAACAGATCCTGGCCGCAGCTCAGGAAAACCAAGGGATAGGTGGGAAAGCATAGGATCCGAAGGGAATGCTGGGGGACAAAGGAATTTGAGGGATCATAAGAGCAGACCCCCCAATAAGAGGAGGACCCCGAAGAATCCCACTGACAAGCCCTAACCCCAGAGAAGGCAGTGTCATAGCACCACATCTGGCCTCCAGGGAACTAGCCTAAGGGTTGTGGGATCTGTGTGTCACCCCCCAAGGGCCCCATGTCCCTCCCCTCTACTTATCTAAAGGGTCCACCAAGGCCAAGTGGCTCACACCTGCAATCCCAGCACTTTGGGAGGATCGCTTGAGCCCAGGAGTTTGAGACCAGCCTGAGCAACATAGTGAGGCCCCATCTCTACAAAAAAGTTGTTTAATTAACTGGGTGTAGTGGTGCCTGTCTGTAGCCCCAGCTCCTCAGGAGGCTGAGGTGGGAGGATCCCTTGAGGAGGCAGAGGTTACACTGAGCTGAGATCACTTCACTTGCACTGTAGCCTAGGTGACACAGTGAGACCCTGTCTCAAAAAATAAGTAAGCAAAAAAAGAAAGGGTCCACCTACCACTGGACACTTGGCCCATGGCCGCCTGTGGGGAGAAGCCGGCGAGCCTTAGGGAGGAGATGGAGAGACAGGAACGGGCATAAGCAGCATCTGGCTGGCTGGGGGTGGAGGCTGGAGATGGAAGACCCGACTGGCTTACTCAGCTTTCTTCACCACTCACAGGACCTGGGCCTTGAGGGGACCCTCCTTACTGACATCCTCTACAGAGATGTGGCCTTCCTCAACCTGGTTGACCCCATCTCCCATGACCTCCTTGTGAACCTGGCCCGGGACCTGCAGTGCCCCAAAAAGGTGAGGCTGGTAGGCACGGGCCCAGGGCTGGGCACTGTGGTGGACAGGGGCCAGCAGAGCCCAGGGCTGGGGGCTGGGAGGCTAGGTCCTTCCGTGGCTTGCTGTGTGCCCTTAGGCAAGTCACTGTCCCTGTCTGAGACCTGATGCCAGCATCAGTATATTAGGCTGGCCACCAGCTACAGCAAGTGCTTTGCAGGACCCTCAGAGTCCTGGGGAGACCTGTTTTCTCAGTGGCAGCACTGTGCACCAGGCCTGGGGACCCAGGCAGGGGAGACTCTAGCTGAGCAGAAGTCCCACAGGGACCCTGCGGGACACAGACTGTTCTGAGAAATCCAAGAACGGAACCTAACTCCCAGCCTCAGTTCCCGGGCCAGAAGAGAGCTGCCCTTGGCTAGGGCCTCCCGTCTGTCCGCCAGTCTCCATCCTGGACAGACACCTTTGGGGACGGGTGTTCACTGCTTCACCCCACAACAGCTGGGGTCACAAGCAAGGCCTTCCTCATTGCTGGGGTTGAGTTTGCAACCTACGCCCTACAGCTACCCAGAACCCCACTCTGATGGCACCTGCAGATGTCCTGCTGTGAGCATCGACACAGCCCCAGGATATGTGGCTGTGACCAGCCACAGGCCCCAGACTTATAGTCACAGTGAGTCCCCCAACTGAAACAATGGTGTCCGCTACAGGCCCTGCCAGCTCTGAACGCCCAGGTCTGTGTGCAGTCGGCCCCAAGGACTCTGAGGCTAGCCCACAGCCATCACAGGACCGGCCAGGGCTTGCAGCTGCTGTGTGCGCCGCCTGCTCCTGGGGCTGCTCACAGAGGGACTGGATAAAGGATGCAGTGGAGCATGCTCAGTGCCAGCTTTGTGGGCCGCGCACCCTGGATTCCGCCCCGAGCTGGGCCTCTGCAAGAGTCCCGTTAGGACTGAGAGCGAGCCAGGTGGTGGTGCTGTGAAACGTCACATCCCCCAGCCCCGTCAGCCCAGACCCAGACCCCACAGCCGCAGTCTCGCTTGGAGAGTGAGAGGAAGAAGGACATGCTGACCTGGCTTGTTCCTACTCCCTGGGACTGGCGTCAGTGGAGCAGGGCTCCCTCAAGGGGCCTGGTCTGGCCTCCTCCCTCTGTGGCAAGTCCCCGAGGGGTGCTGAGGGTGGGCAGGCGGCCGGCTGATAGCCCGAGATGCTGGCCCTGGGCCTGAGGACAGGGAACAAGGGCCCATTGTCTGGGCTTCCTCCCGCCGGGCACTGCGGGACTGGACCTGCCTGTCCAGCTCCCAGAAGGCAGCCTCCCCTGGCTCTGTGCCAGGCCACAGCCGGGTTGGGGGGTGGGAGGGGGAGGCCCTGGTGGGCTGCTCTGTGATCCATGGTACACAGCTGTGCTCACACACACACACTTGGCTGCCCAGGCCCCTCTCCCTAAGGCCCTGAGGTGGACAGGAGGGGCTCAGGTTCACCATGGTGACACTGCCCTCCCACAGGACTACGAGCTTTGGAAGTCCTCCGACAAGATCTGCCGACAGCTCATCTACCACCTCACGCCCCACTCGAAGCAGCAGCAAGGGTCCAGCCTGCGTCAGAGGAAGACCCAGAGCTGGTAAGGGGAACCCAGCCACTGCCCCTCTTCTCTGCCCCTCCAAGGTCCCTTCTCAGGTTGATACCCGCACTCTCACCAAAAGGCTGGTGCTGAAATCCCTCCTGGCCAGGCCCTCACCTGGTCTGCACAAGGCCCTACCCTGGAAGTCAGCCTGGCCCGTGGCAGCAGTTGGTCCCCAAGCCAAGCTGTACCCTCTGAATGACCCGTTTGCCATTTCCCACGGGACAGTCCTGCCTCTTACCATTCATGTGTCCCTCAATCCCTGGCCTGTCACAGGGCCTGGACACCCCAGCCACCCACCAGCTGAGGTGACCTCAGCAGGCAACTTCATCTGAGACTTCCCATCAGGTTGCCAGGGGGGCAGATTCTGGATCACGATTCTCATTTTACAGGGAAGGAAATTTTGAGGTTCAGAGAAGTAAAGTGGCTTGCCTAAGGCCGCATTCTACCCTGATTTTCCTGCACCTTGTTGGGAATTCTTTGCCACTGCCAGGCTGCCTAAAGCCAAGGCCTCCATGGCTGCCCAATAGCTCAGTCTGCCATGGGTCCCTCTCAGACACTCCATCCTGGAGTGACTCCATCCACGGAGCCTCACACACAGGCTGAGCCCAGAGTTCAGTTGCCTGGTTGCCTAGTCCATCCCTGCCTGCCATCCTCCCATAGCCTCAAGAGCAGCCTTCAGAAGACTCCGCTGACAGGGGAGACTGTGGACCTCTCAGGCATCCCGCTGTCGGCGTGGGACGTGCAGCACGTCGCACGCCACTTGGGCAGCCACGGCGCTGAGCTGGCAGTGCTGGACCTGAGCTTCACAGGGCTGAGTGACGAGGGGCTGCACCTGCTTCTGCCCAGCCTGTGGGCGCTGCCCTGCCTCACCCAGCTCCTGCTCAATGGCAACCGGCTGACGCGGGCTGCTGCCCGCGAGCTCACCGAGGCCATCAAGGACACCACCAAGTTCCCTGCACTGGCCTGGGTGGACCTGGGCAACAACGTGGATGTGGCCTCCCTGCCCCAGCCCCTGCTGGTGGGCCTTCGCCGGCGGCTGAGCCAGCGCACCTCACTCCCCACCATCTACGAGAGCCTGGACCTTGAGCCTGAGGGCGGTGTGGCCGGGACTACCACCCCTGCCTCCAGCTGGGACTCCACAGCTGCTGGGCTGGGACCCGAGCCTCAGGTCTGCTGCGCCAGGTGACCCACCACCCACCTGGCTTATTGCTACTGACTTGTGATGCTCTCAAGCACATGGGATAGTGGGCGATGAAGGTCGAGGAGGATTCACAGGCCCCAGAGATCTGGTACAATTCTCAGCCTGAGATTAAGGGGACAGGAGAATGGATTCATAGGAGGCCAGATGGCCAGCCCCGGCTAGAGTCTCAGCCTTCCCTCAGTGGGAGGGGCCCCAGCACCCACAGTGTGGACCCCACAATAAAGAGTGACACCCACCTCTACTTCTCTACATCACTGACCTCAGGGTCACGGAGCAACAGCCCTGGTGCTGGGGTGGGGAAAAGGGATGGTTTTGTCTATCCAAAAGGGAGGGGCCAAGGTCACGCTGACCTTCCCTAGGTGCTCCTTGGGCAGGTCTCCCATGGAGTCCAAGGTGTGGGGGTCCTGGGTCCATCCCCATGTGCTAGAGAGTTAGAGGAGGCCTCCAGGGAGCAGGCCTTCACATCTGGGCAGGGCTTGGGCTCCTTGAGAAGGGGAGCTGTAGGCCGGGCGCGGTGGCTCAAGCCTGTAATCCCAGCACTTTGGGAGGCCGAGGCGGGTGGATCACGAGGTCAACAGATCGAGACCATCCTGGTCAACATGGTGAAACCCCGTCTCTACTAAAACTACAAAAAATTAGCTGGGCATGGTGGCGCGTGCCTGTAATCCCAGCTACTCAGGAGGCTGAGGCAGGAGAATTGCCTGAACCCAGGAGGCGGAGGTTGTGGTGAGCCGAGATCGCGCCATTGCACTCCAGCCTGGGTAACATGAGTGAAACTCCGTCTCAAAAAAAAAAAAAAGAAGAAAAGAGAAGGGGAGCTGTAAAGGAGCTGGTGGGGAGCCCCAGGTGGAGCAAAGCTCTACATGGAACCCCATGGCAAGCTCATGTCTGAGCTCAGGCTGCCAGCCTCGCCACCAGGGCCCCTTGGGCTGGGGATGAGGCTGCACAGACCAGAAGCAGGGGCCACAGCTGACTAAGTGGGAGGTCTTGGTGCCTGCCTCCTATAGGGTACAGTGCTGCTTGCCACCCCCAGTACCCAGCCCCAGGCCTCCTGTACTTGGCAAGGGACAGCTCTGTGCGATTAGGAGACACAGCAGGCCAGAGCAAAGTGCTTATGTGTTCCCTCCAGGCCCTGGGGGTCCCCATGTGGGAGAGCACGCAGGGGGTGGAGGTGGGCACAGCCAGCAGCAGGGGTCTTGGGGGACTATCTCCCTTCCCAAGCACCATCAGAGTGGGCTCCCAGCCAGAAGCCTAATGCCACAGTCACCCTCAGCCCTGTGTGAGGAGTTATAGTTCAGCTCAACCAGGAGACAGGCAGAAAAGGAATTTAGAGATGTCCAGGGGGGATACTGAGGCCCAGAGTGAGGAAGTTGCATGCTGAGCCAGGAGGTGAGGTGTGGGGGCAGTGGGGCCCTGTGAGATGAGAGACTCAGCAGCAGAGGGAGGCTCCAAGGCCAAGGAGGAAGCGGGGTCCTCCTGGGCCTACACCCCAGCCCACCAGCTCCGACCTTCCCTCACAGCCCTGGCCCACAGGGGACTGTGAGCGGCACATCCACCCCCTGTGATGCGTGGATTCCAGCACATTCCCAGGCTGGCCAGATGCGTAACAGCCTCTCAGAACAGAAGGGAGATGGCCAAGAAGGTTGAGGACAGGATGGTGTCTGGTCCCAGGACTGGGATAGAGGCAGTGAGGAAAAGGATTTTCCTTAGGCCCCACTGATCTCACTAGGCAGACCCCTCGCCCAAAGGCTCTGGAGAGACTGAAGATCGCCATTCAGCCCGACTCTGCTTCTGACTTGCCGTGGGACCTGACCAGGCCCTTCCCTTTACAGAATCTCTGCTCTCCCCTCTGTTAAATAGGACTTCCAGCTCTCAACGCTCCCTCTTGGGGGCCAGCCCCCTCCCAGCTCTCCTTGTTTTAAGGACTGGCCCTGCCCAGCAGCTCAGAAGCCATGGAAGTGTCTCCCTGTGTCCCTACTCTGGAACAGGGGGTTCAGGCTCCCCAGAGTAAGGCAAAATCGGGTAGGTAGTGGGAAGGGCCAGCAGAGAGAAGGATTGTGAGAAAATGAAAGCTTAAATCAACATGCACTTACTGTGTGAGGAATCTATTATTTAAATCAAAACGATGAGAGCCAGCCAGACGAGCTGATAAACCTGTCACATAAGCAGGCAGCTGAGCTCTCCCTGAAAGTCCTGTCAGAGAAACGCCAAGCTCTCCGGTCCCTTGTGCCCTCCTGACTCCCTGCCCACCACTGACCCTAAGCCAGCCCACAGACCCTCCACCGTCACTGCTCCGAGAGATTCCTACCAGGATGGTTCGCGAGGACCTGAGCTGGTGTCCCAGGAAAGCTCTGAGAGAATCCAGGCGGCAGCAGATAGTTTCAGTCTCTCTGCTTCTTAGACAGAAGCATACGATGCTGTAGCGGAGTCAGAGCCTGAAACGGATCAAGAGAAGTGGGAAGGTTGGGCTCATGGCCATGAAGGTGTTCACAGCCTTCTCAGGGCCTTCATGACCTCCAGCAAGGCTGTCTAGGGCAGGGCTACTGAGCTCCAGGAAATGGCAGCTTGTGGCTCATGCAGCCTAGTAGGACAGAGAGCACTGGCTAGGACAGCTCCAGCCTAAGCTCTAGATGGAAGAGGAAGCAGGTGGGCTGTACTCTGGCCGGTCCTTATTCAGGCTCAGTCTTGGAGGCAGACAGGCCTGGACTGGTTCCCAGCCTGTCACTTGCTGGCAATGTGGTCCTCTTGGGGCCTGTTCCCTCATCTTGGGAACGAGGTACACCAAGCCTCCCATTATCCCACTGGAGTGAGGATGACGTAAGTTTTGGAAAGCGTCTACCACATCGAGGGGAGCAGGGCAGGCACTCTTCAATGTCAGCAGGGCCTCCACCCAGGACTCTCTGGGTGGCAATGGCAGGAACCCAAATCTTTGGTACTAGGCCAGAGATGAAGCCTTTTTTTTTTTTTTTTTTTTTTGGGAC